CAAGAAGTCATGTGCCGACTCTGAGGCAGCGGCGGTTGCAGAACCTCTGGGATCCCCTTCGGAGACCACCGCCGTCGCCGCAGAGTCGCCGGAGCTCGAGAACTACAGTAGCAAGTGCGTGTTCTGCCGGATCGCAGCGCAGCAGGATCCCAGCACTGAACTCCTGTACTGTGAGGTTGGCGGCGACGCGCGACCGGGGACCCGATCGCTCCTGGGGGCTCCGCGAGGGGACCTCGCCGGTGTGGATCGGGTGGGGAGGGTCCTGATAAATGGGGCTGGGGGAGGCTGGGTGTCCTAGTGTTAATAACAGACTTGCTTCTCTAGGCGCAGGGAGTGTCACCAGCCACCTCTTTGCTATTCTAAGGGGAGAAAATGTAGTAGTGGTAAAGTCTCTCTGCAGCTGCCGAGGTACTTAGTGGACAAGAGCATGTATGGCCTCTGATTTTATTAAAGGGACCCCCCCCTCCCCCCGCCTTTCTAGACACTGCTTTTACATTCCGCACTCTTAATACTGGTACTGAAGAGAAACCAGTAGAAAATAGATAATGGTAATTGTGAAAACCTGTTTGTTAGATTGACTGAAAATAGGCTGGCAGGAGTGGGTCCGAGGTCAAACTATTACTTAATAGATTCTGATTTCCACTAAAGGGTCCATTTCCTTAGAAGTGTTATCAGTTAGGCTATGTGGACATTTTCAGAGCATTAAGACTTTGTCCAGATATTTTAAAACAGATGATCTGGTAGGCACTTTCTTCCACCAGCTCGACTTACCTTTAAAGAAACATCCTTCTTTTTTTTTTTTTTTTTTTCTGTACGCGGGCCTCTCACTGTTGTGGCCTCTCCCGCTGGGTGCCCCCGCCGGCAGGGTCACGGGTGCGGTACGCGGGCCTCTCACTGCTGTGGCCTCTCCCGTTGCGGAGCACAGGCTCCGGACGCGCAGGCCCAACGGCCATGGCCCACGGGCCCGGCCGCTCCGCGGCACGCGGGATCCTCCCGGACCAGGGCACGAGCCCGTGTCCCCTGCATCTGCACGCGGACCCCCAACCACTGTGCCACCAGGGAAGCCCAAGAAACATCTTTTGAAAGAATCAGCTCCAAAGATTCTGGGCTTCTTTGTGTTTTTTTGTTGTTGTTGTTTTTGTAGTAATCATTCATTCATTTGTTAAAAGTAAATTGACTTCCTTCTAAGCACTGTTGGAGATTCATGGGTGAGCAAGGTAAAGGATAGTCCCTGTCTGGATTTTATAATCTAAAGGGACAGAAGAGGCAGCTGATAACAGTGCCCTGTTGTATGGTGAGATGGTTTTACCACCTGCAGTATTTTGCAGGGCTTGTGGGAGGAGCACCTGGCCCAGATTTGAAGGGATAGGGAAGGCTTTCCAGAGGAAGTGAGACACGAAAAAGTTAAGTAGGCATTGGTCAGGTGAGGAGGAGAGAAGATGCCCCTGGTAAAGAGCACCTTCAGAGGTTTGGTTCCTGCCACAGGAGAACAGAAATTCAGTCTAACTGGAGCATGGAGTTTGAGGGGATGAGTGGTGAAAGATGAAGCTGGAGAGGTAGACAAGGGGCCAAGTTATTAAGGCTACTGTAATTCATGTTAAGGAGTTTTGGCTTTATTTGAAGAGTGAAGGGAAGCTCTGCAGTGTTTAATGCTACTGTTAATGCTGGGTTGGAAGAAAGGGGTTGAGAAGTTACATGAAAGGGTTTGATCTTTGAAAGATTATCTGACACCACTGTGGAGAATGATTTAGAGAGGACCAGCCTGGAGGCATGGAGATCGGTTATGAGGCTGTTGAAGTAATCCAGCCTGATGATGGCCTGAAATAAGATGTAGTAGTGGGAATGAGGAAAAGCCAATCAATTTAAGGATATTTAGGAGTCTGACACTGCAGAGATATGCATCTCTAGCTCAGATTTTAGAAACTGTCAGCTTACAGATGGAAATTGAAAAGAGGGAAATTAATGAGATCACCTAGGAAGTATATGTAGAGTAAGAAGTGAAGGGGCCCCTACAAGAGAGACGCAGAGGAAGAGGACCTGGAAAGAGGAGAGAGAAACAGAGGGAAAACTAGGAAAGCTAAGAGAAGGGAGTATGTCAGGAAGATAGGAATTGGCAGCAACATCAGCCTTCCCTAATCCTTGAATCTGGGTTAGGTGACTCTCCAATATGCCTGCAGAGAGGGCAACTTAGATCAGAACTGGTTTTGTCCCCAGAGTGATGGTCATTGACCTTGAGGAGAGCAACTGCAGTGCAGTGGTGAGGCAGAAGGCAGATTGTGGTTGATAAGAACCTGAAGGATAAAAAATTGAAGACAGCAAATACAGACGACTTTTGAAGGAAGTTTGGCAGTCTTGGGGAGAAGGGAAAAGGTAAGGTAACTACAGGAGGAGATGGAGCTAAGAGAAAGCTTTTTAAAACAGTGAAGACTTTGGTGCGTTTAAATCCTGATGGGAAGGTGCCAATGGAGAGAGGTTTAAAATGGCCCACGGTGGTAGAGCTTTGTCCCTGAGAAAGAGGAAACTCAGTCACTCATCCATTACTCAGTATTTGAATGAGTACCTTCTGTTTGTCAGGCACTGTTGGAGGCATTAGGATATAGCAGTAAATAAAATGTACAAAAATCCCTGTCCTCATGGAGCTTACAGGAAATAGTAAGCAACATAATAAGTAAAATATTATATAGAGAATGGATATTGATACATAGTTCAAAATATTGATACAGAGTTCACTAGATGGGAATGAAAAAAGAGAAAAGGGATGCAAATTTTAAATTTTTAGTCAGGAAAAGCTGCACTAAGAAGGTGGCATTTGAATGAAGCCCTGAAGGAGGTGAAGGAGGAAAGTATATGGTTTACTCTTTATATATAAAGTACAGCTATGCCATATAGGACATGAGAGATACACAATATATTTGTGATATTAACATATCATGGGAGGGCAATTAGGAAAAAGTCTAAAAATGTTCCTTAGGAGGGTGATAATGAGAAACATTTAAGAAACACTGTTATAATCATACAATGGCCGTAATTCCAACTTTAAGAAGGTCATCCATTTCTTTTTTTAAAATTAATTAATTAATTAATTAATTTTTGGCTGAGTTGGGTCTTTGTTGCTGCGCGTGGGCTTTTCTGTAGTTGCGGCAAGCAGGGGCTACTCTTCGTTGTGGTGCGCGGGCTTCTCATTGCCGTGGCTTCTCTTGTTGTGGAGCACGGACGTTAGGCGCACGGGCTTCAGTAGTTGTGGCTCGTGGGCTCTAGAGTGCAGGCTCAGTAGTTGGGGCACATGGGCTTAGTTGTTCCACAGCATGTGGGATCTTCCCAGGCCAGGGCTTGAACCTGTGTCCCTTGCATTGGCAGGCGGATTTTTAACCACTGTGCCACAAGGGAAGCCTGAAGGTCATCCATTTCTGTGGAAAAGTATATGAAAACCCTAATGACACACCATTTTTTTAAGGAGTAGATAAGGGAGTATCGGTAGTTTTATCTTTCTGTTTAAGCAACTGTCATTTACTGAACAGATTTTGCAGGCTTACTATTGATATGTGTTACTCACTTGGAGCTCAAAGATGAACATGGCATGTCCTACACTTGAGAAGCTTGCCTATGATCTGAATTGAAATGAAAAATTCTCTTTTAGTGGGTATCACTAGGTATAGGTAGTAAAAATTCTGTACTTTAAAGTCACTTGAAATTATCTTTTCTTTGTGTAATTATGCTACCAACATGACAAATAGTTAGGTTCACTCATTTCTGTTTGTTTTCCATTGTTAAGGACTACTTTTTTTTTTTTTGAGTCCAAAAATGTATGGTAAATATTCACATGCTTTTAAAATCAAAATTGTAAAGCAAAGTACATTTGAAGTCTGGTATCCATTCTCTTGTTATCTCTACGCTGTTCCTCTTTCCCCACAACAAACCTTTAAAAAATATTTTTGGTTTATCTTTCCTTTGTGAGTAGATATGTATGCGTGTGTTTATATTTATACTCTGTCTTCTTACACAAAAGATAGCTTAACCTTGTTCCATGCTTTTTCTTTTTTACCTTAGGAATTTATTCCAGAAATGATTTCATAAGTGTATAAAGATCTTCCTCATTCCTTTTTATAACTACACAATACTCCACTGTATGGATTTACTGTAATTTATTCAGCCAGTCTTAGTTGAATTTTATGGGCAGTTGGGTTATTTTCAGTCTTTTGCTATCATAAATCATGCTGCAAAGAATAGCCTTGTACAAATACCATTTCATATTTTTTGCCTGTTTGTCTGTGGAATGGGAGGACAGTCTTTGTTTTATTTATTTTTTTTAATGAGTGATCTTTGGATAGCTTTCCTGTAGGGGTTTGTAGTGGCTTTTTTTTTTTTTAAGAAGATGTTGGGGGTAGGAGTTTATTAATTAATTTATTTTTTTTGCTGCGTTGGGTCTTTGTTGCTGTGCGAGGGCTTTCTCTAGTTGTGGCAAGCGGGGGCCACTCTTCATCGCAGTGCGTGGGCCTCTCACTGTCGCGGCCTCTCTCGTTGCGGAGCACAGGCTCCAGACGTGCAGGCTCAGTAGTTGTGGCTCACGGGCGCAGTTGCTCCGCGGCATGTGGGATCTTCCCAGACCAGGGCTCAAACCCGTGTCCCCTGCACTAGCAGGCAGATTCTCAACCACTGCGCCACCAGGGAAGCCCCAGGTCTTTCTTTTAAATGAAGAGTCTAAATACTGGCTAGATCAGTAGTAGCAATGAGAGACATCAGAGAGCCAGTTTCAGTATTTTAGAAAGCTTAATGGAAATCTAATTCAATCATTGATTGAATAGGCTAAATAAAACGTCATTGCTTTGCTTTTGACAGGAATTTTATCTACTGGTGATGATGACAGTTATGTCAATTGGTAGGTTTCTTTAATTAACGAGAATTGGGAAAATAAAATATTCACACATGACATTTAGTAAACAGAACCTTTCAAAATAGGGTTTTGGGAGATGAAGGCAGAACTGGGCATTTGGTTCATTCTTATGGCTGAGTCATGTATGACAGCAGATTTTTAAGAGCTTCTTTAATGTTTTTCTCCTGTTATGCTTTAGACTAGCATTTTGTAGTTCCATGAATCTAAAGAAGTGTTACTCCTGCTTTGAGGTAGAATTCAGCTATATTATCTCAAAATAATTCTAATCGGGATGTATTCTGTACCAGAAAGATTTACCTCTGGATTTTTAAAAGTTAATGCCATAATTGAGGAGGAAATAAAGACATATAAAATTGTTGTGTGATGAATCAGTCTGGGAAGTACAATTTTGTTGTACTAGATGTGACCCCCGATACTAGTTGTTTCTCAGCTGGAAGCATTAAGTAAATAATGGAAAACTTTAAATATTCAAGAACATTGCTGTCTTATCCTTTTTGATCTTATCCCTTTCTAAAACATACCATGGATATGTATATTTAAAGTTACTACTAGACGGGAAAACCATAATAAAAATGGAAATAATTGTCATGCTTGTTATTTTAGGGTTAGGGTTAGCTCTTGGGGTTCCCCAAGTCAACCAACCTTCTGAGACTATACACACACGTGTGTGTGTATATATAACACACATATACATATATATACACATGTATACATATTTACGTAAAATTACACACACACACACACACACACACACACACACACACACACCCCACCTGGTCTGAGTCTCTGTTCCTGAATTGCAGGAAACCCATCACTTTCCCCAGTATATCAGAAGATTTCCTCTTGGCACTGGGGGGAGTATGCTGCATACATTATCCCTAGTCACCTCTCATGATTTTCTGTTTCTACTAAATTTTCTATCTTATCCTCAAACCTTTGTCTTGCATCAGCCGAAGAGAGTAACAGATTCTTTTCCTTTCATTTTCCTGATACATTAACACAAAGCAACAGCTGCTATAGATTTTTCCTCAAAGTTTGGGGGCAACAGGATTCTCATATTCTTTAAACACAGCATAAATCCGTTTCTGTAGGCAGGCACCTCAATTCATTTCTTGTTTGTGTACTTTCCTCATAGCTCATGCTACATTCAGTTGATCACTGTTTACTTCAAGGTCTTAAAAGTTACAATTTTTCCCCCTCTCTATTCTCATCTTATAGGCAGGTTACACTCAATATCTGGAAAAATAATCGAGATTTTTGTGTGGCTGTGCCTCCACATTTTAGCAGCTCTTGGTTGAAAGCATGTAAATGAGGACAGCAACAAAATCAATATTTAAGCAATATTTTAATAGAGTGATATTGTGGACATTTTATAGAAGCCTTGAGATAGGAGAGGGACACATAATACTGTATTTTTGCTGCCCTCCATTTCAGTCATGACTCTGCTGGGGGCTAAAGTAGACAAAAAGTCCCATTCACTGAATTGTGGTCTCACTGCAGGTCAATTTGTCAGTCACCTGAAGCTTAGATGAGCAGTATGGATACTGATAAGGAAGTTCGTGTTACAGTATGTACAATTGCCTTTCATCATTATTCTCACTGAAATCAAGATTATTGGCATGGATATGAGGCCCTTGTTCCAACTGAATTTTAGTTCTTAGAATGGAGAACTAATGAGCAACAGTGCATTCTGGGAAACTATGCTTATTGATACTGATTTTATTTAATTTTGACTAATTTTTTAATATAAGATATTGAATAAGTTTATTTAGGGAATATAGATTTTTCTTTTGAAAAAACTTGAAACTCAAATGTTAATAGGTTGAAAGACTCCCTTTTTTGTTTCCTTTTCTTTTTTCCTTACATTAATGTGTGGAGTACAGAAACCAGAAAACTGATACTATACATGTAATGGACTGGACACATAACTTAGTACAGTATACTAGAGTTTGTTTCAGCATTTCAGAGTCTTTTTAATGCTATAAAGTGGCAAGTAAACATAAAGAAAAAGTATTTATAATTATTGTAAAAATGTTTAAAAATGTAACCCCTGGATATATAGATGCTAGATGATGTTATAAATGAAGAAAATGGCACTTTGGAAAAAAATTAAATGTAAAAAAGAATTTATCAATCTTGCTATGATTCTGTGGTAGAACCTTTAAAAGTACATATTAGGGGCTTCCCTGGTGGCACAGGTTGAGAGTCGAAAAAAATTAAATGTAAAAAAGAATTTATCAATCTTGCTATGATTCTGTGGTAGAACCTTTAAAAGTACATATTAGGGGCTTCCCTGGTGGCACAGTGGTTGAGAGTCTGCCTGCCGATGCAGGGGACATGGGTTTGTGCCCCGGTCCGGGAAGATCCCACATGCCGCGGAGCGGCTGGGTCCGTGAGCCATGGCCACTGAGCCTGCGCGTCCGGTGCCTGTGCTCCGCAATGGGAGAGACCACAACAGCGAGAGGCCCGCGTACCGCAAAAAAAAAAAAAAAAAAGTACATATTAGGAGTAGAAAAACCTTAGGGTAGAGATGGAGAAATATATAATGAAATTTGAAAAAACTCTGGGATTATGATAATGAAGTTTTAATGAACTTCATTCATAATTGTTTTCTGGAAATTGATTTTATATGTCTTTTTCTTCTCTGGAATAAATGAGCATCTCATGAAGGAAGCTAAAGCTTGTCTTTATGGACATAATGCATAATCACAAAATTGCCCAATGGGGATTAGTTGTAACATAAGCACCATTTCCCTATCAGACTGAGATTTATGTATGATGTTTAAGACATGCCAGAACAGCATTAGGAAATTCTTTTTAAAAATTCACTAACAAATGACATTTTCCTTTAGAATGAAGACCTAGTTTGCTTCAAAGATATCAAGCCAGCAGCACCTCATCATTATCTTGTGGTGCCAAAGATGCATATTGGAAACTGCAGATATCTAAAGAAAGATCAGATAGAACTGGGTAAGTTGATGGCAGTATTCTTCATGGTTATATCATCGTGAACTGGCATCAGTGACGGCAGTGACAATTGAAAAGAAACAGTTTAGCCAGATATTGTGATAAAGGAGCATTATGGCTTTTTGAAACTTTCATTATGAAAAATTTCAAATATATACAAAAATAAAGAAAATAGTATAATCTCCATGTATTTATCACCCAACTTCAACATTTATTAACTCATGGCCAATCTCTTTACATATATTAACCTTCTCCCACAGTGGATTTTAAGCAAATCTCAGACGCCATGTTATTTTATTTTTAAAATCTCTAAAAGATAATGCCTCTTTATGCTTTTTAAATCATGGCTTTCTTGATTCTGAAAGTGAAAGATAATATGAAAACTTATAAACAAATAGAATGGTTAAAGAAGATGTGGTACATATATACAATGGACTATTACTCAGCCATAAAAAGGAATGGAATTGTGCCATTTGCAGACACGTGGATGGACCTAGAGACTGTCATACAGAGTGAAGTAAGTCAGAAAGAGAAAAACAAATAGCGTATAATATCACTTATATGTGGAATCTAGAAAAATGATACAGATGAACTTATTTGCAAAACAAAAATAGAGATGCACACAGAGAACAAACGTATGGATACCAAGGGGGCAATGGGGAGGTGGAATGAGTTGGGAGATTAGGATTGACATATATACACTACTATGTATAAAACTGATAACTAATGAGAACCTACTGTATATCACAGGGAACTCTACTCAGTGCTCTGTGGTAACCTAAATGGGAAGGAAATCCAAAAAAGAGGGAATATATGTATACATATAGCTGATTCACTTTGCTGTACAGCAGAAACTAACATAACATTGTAAAGCAACTATACTGCAATAAAAATTAATTTTAAAAAAGTTATAAACAAATAAGTTATAATATGGCATATGAGTACATATTACCTGAGAGTGAGACCATATTGGTACCTGCCTTGTAGTTTCCTGCCTTGTAATTTTCTGTATAGATGAAGTAGGACCAAGGTTTAATTATGAGATTTTAGTGATGAACTTTTAGCCTCTGAAAAAGAGATTCTGAAATCTTGTCTCTTACAGGATTATCCTGTATTTTCCTATACATGATTTCTGTGATTTGTCAGCTACGGTTTACTAAGACGTTGCTAAGTTTACTTCAAACCTGCTTCAATAGCCATTGTCATCAGGGTCTGGGATGTTTGGTCAATACTTTAAGGTAGCTGGCAAGATAGATAAATTGGGCCAGATTTTTGAAGGTGACTAAGAAATCTCTTTGATGAAAACCTCGATATGTGGTTTATTAGTGTTTAGACTACTGAATTAACCAGTTTTTAAACTGTTTTTTCGAGATATTGTGAAATTCCTTAGTCATCTTCAGTTCTATCAGTATGTTTCATGCTCATTCCAACAGACAGAGGCCAATATACGTGCAGTATTTAGTACTAGGCAACAGGCACCAACCTTCAGTATTTCCTTTTATACTGTTTTCCTTAAGGAGGGAGAAATGTGTTTATGCTTGCTTTTCTTTTTCTAGTATTTCTTTTCTTGTTAAAGGTTTTTATAACAGTTGCAAATCAAATGTTACTAATTTTGAAGCAGCATGGTGGGTGTTTGGGATTTCATTATATGTACTGTCTTTACTGATTTTGTGTATATTTGAATATTTCCATAATAAAACTTTAAAAGTCCTTGCCATTAATATTTTTATACAGTCTATAAAGTTGGAAAAATAATAAGCATATGGAAGAGCTTAATAATACTATCAAGCACTGTGACGATAATTGACATTAATAGAACTTCACCTAACTATAGAATATACATTTTGTTATGAGCACATGTTCACCAAGATAGTCCATATTCTGGACAATAAAATAAGTCTCAATACATTTCAAATGATCAAAATCTTATAAAATACATTGTCTGATGACAATGGAATTAAAATAAATAATAAAATGTAGAATAGCACTAAATATTTTTAAGTTAAAACACTTTTAAGTAACTTCTAAATAAATAGGTAAAAAAGACAATATTTTGAACTGATTGGTAATAAAAATACAACATAACAAAATTTGTAGAATGTAGCTGAAGAAGTGCCTAGAGGGAAATTTATAGCTCTAAGTGCTTATATTAGAAAAGGAGGTACAAAACCAATGACCTAAGTTTCCAGTTTAGGATGCTAGAAAGAGGCAAGCAAATCAGATCAAAATAAAGTATAAAGAAGGAAATAGTAGAGTAGATATCAGTGAAATAGGAAAGAGACAATAGGTTTTGCTTCATGTATTTTGGATCTGATTTTTAAGTGAATATGTAATTATGATTGTCATGTCTTCTCAATGATCCATTTTTATCATTGTAAAATGTTCCTTTTTATGTCTGGAAATACTTCTTGTGTCTTTTTTTTTTTTGCGGTATGCGGGCCTCTCACTGTTGTGGCCTCTCCCGTTGCGGAGCACAGGCTCCGGATGCGCAGGCTCAGCGGCCATGGCTCACAGGCCCAGCCCCTCCGCGGCATGTGGGATCTTCCCGGACCGGGGCACAAACCCATGTCCCTTGCATCGGCAGGCGGACTCTCAACCACTGCACCACCAGGGAAGCCCTCTTGTGTCTATTTTGTATGACATTAATTTAGATACTCCAGCTTTCTTATTATTGTTTGCATTGGGTATTTTTTTCTATCCTTTACTTACAAATTGAATATTTATATTTAAAGACTTGAAGATAGCAATATAATTGGGTCTGACTCTTTTTAAAAAAATGTAATGTGAAAATCTCTTTTAATTGAAGCATTTAGTTCAGAAGCATTTAATATAACTACCGACATAGTTGGATTTAGGTCTACCATTTTGCCATTTGTTTTCTATTTGTCCCGGTTTTTGTTGTTGTTGTTGCCCTGTTTCTTCTTTCCTGCCTTCTTGTGGTTGATCAAACATATTTTTTAGTATTCCACTTTATCTCTTGCCATTTTAGCTATTTTTCTTTGTATTTCTTTAAAGTGGTTGTTCTAGAGAAATTAAAATACACATCCTTCAATGATCACAGCCTACTTAGAGTTAACATTGTATCAATTCATGTAAAATGCGAGAAACTTTGCAACACTTTGTTATTGTTGTCATTTATATTTCATCTACATACTTTATAATGCCATGGTACTGTTAAATAATCATATGTCTTTTAAAGAAATTAAAAGAAAAAACAATCTTTTTTATTTACTCAAGTGTTTGGCATCTTGGGAGTATTTTTTTTCTCAAATTATACTTTCAAGGATGGTTTTATGTTGAAAACAAAAGCAAATTGAATAATCACACAAGTCTCCATACTGAACCAGAAACTAGTCAACATTCTTCTGATTATTTTCAGTTTAATTTTTCATCCAGTTAAAGTCTCTAGATTTATGATGCTTAAAGTCCTTCTCTATCTTGTTACGTGGAATGCAGCATGATTCTACCATCTGTCTCTTTTTTTTTTTAATTTTTTCATTGAAGTATAGTTGATTTACAATATCATGTTAGTTTCAGGTATACAGCACAGCGATTCAGTTATACATATATATGTATATATATATTCTTTTTCAGATTCTTTTCCCTTATAGGTTATTACAAATATTGAGTATCGTTCCCTGTGCTATACAGTAGATACTTGTTGGTTATCTATTTTGTATATAGTAGTGTGTATATGTTGATCCCAGCCTCATAATTTACCCCTCCCCCCAACCCCTGCACCTTGAGAGTTTTTTTTTTTTTTTTTTTTTTTGTACGCGGGCCTCTCACTGTTGTGGCCTCTCCCGTTGCGGAGCACAGGCTCCGGATGCGCAGGCTCAGCGGCCATGGCTCACGGGCCTAGCCGCTCCACGGCATGTAGGATCTTCCCAGACCAAGGCACGAACCTGTGTCCCCTGCATCAGCAGGCGGACTCTCAACCACTGCGCCACCAGGGAAGCCCTTGGGAGTATTATTAAAAGAAAACAAGATACAGTCTGGCTTGAAGTAACATGAGCTTTTTTTTTTACCTTGTGGTACTGGCCTTGTCATGGAAGCCTTCCTACTCAAGCCTGACTTAGAAAGGTAAACTGTTAGCAATGATTTTATAAGCCTCATTATAACAACTGCCCTCTGCAGATTCTCTCACTTCTTCTCTTTTCAAATGCTTGATTACACCATTCAGAAACAAAAGAGATCTAAATTTTGGCATTGTGCTTTGAAGATCCTGGGTTACCAAAATTTTTTTAATGGGGAAGCATATTCCCACCTGAAGGCCATGAAACATTGAGACAATAAAGATGCTAAGGCAAATAAGAGTTTGGAAGCCAAAACAAACATTTAGCTAGTCATGGCTGGGCCAACATAAAGGGATGTCATATTCCTAATTTGAGTTCAGAGACAAATTCAAGTTTTCTTGTCCTCTTAACTCAAACAGTTTTTGTTTAATTACTTGGTTTCCTTATGATTAGAATTAGACCTCAGTAGGATCATATGTCCTAAAGTCACTTGATAATATCCCTCAACAGCTGTTCAAAGTCAGCTTATGTGTGACAGTTTGTGATGGGTTGAACCTTCATTTCAGTTGTTGATAAGCAAATTTCTTCGTAACTCAGAGCTACTGGATGAGTCTTTAAATGTGTATCCATTTGATACGACTTTTTACTAGGACCCTAAAAGTTCTGGTTAATAACTAGGTAGTGAACTTAATGTCTCCTATAGTGTAATGTAGTTTCTTTACTGTTTTGTAGTTGAGAACATGGTAACTGTTGGAAAAAACATTCTTGAAAGGAATAATTTCACTGACTTCAAAAATACGAGGTATGTATACTTCCATGTAGAAACCAATATATGCAGTTGGTTTTTCTGAAATGTAATTTCCTCAGGAAAATGAAAGTAGAGATGGCAGAATTCATGGTTTAAATGCAGTTTTCCTGAAAGTGAACATATTGTTCATTGGTAAATTTAATAAACAAAACTTTTTTTTCACATCTCAACATCATCTAATAATCACCACATTTAGTTTTGGACAGACAAGTATATTGAAGCAGTGGGTAGGTAAAATTAGTTGCTTAGTCCTCTTTGTTCAACATGTGCATTCCTATAAAATTGTGAGTAAATTGAATTTCCTTAGAAAAAATTTATTTTATATGATTTAAAAATACATTATTACCCTTCCAGCATGAAAGTAACCTGAATTTGTTGAACTGCACTCTGACATTAACCAAAGTTTGAGTAAAAGCATACAATATTCAATTTGGTAACTGTTTTAATTAATCTATTTATTTTTTCTTTTTAAAAGATTTCAATTTTGCCTTGTATGATCAAAGTAGTACCAAGGCAGGTATAGTGATTACTTTGACACCTCTGAACTGGAATTCAGAGGCCTGAATTCTAATGCTATCAGTGTTACTTGCTTCTACTATAGTTGTACTGGCTATGTTACTTTGGACAAGTCATTTAAACTCTCCAAGATAATACCTGCTCTGCCTACTTGTAGGCTAAAATGAGATTGAATGTGTGAAAATCCTGTGAAAACTATTATGAACTATATCCAAGGGTGATAATGACAAGGAACAGATGGTATTTGAGACTCTTTGATCAAAATCAACACGTTCCCTTCCCAGTCATAGAAGTGCTCATTAGAAGAATGAACACTGGACTGGTTGTCAAGAGCCCTGAGTTTCAATTCTAGCTCTACCACTGCCTAACTTTGTGACCTTGAGAAGTCTCTTCAACTTTCTACATCTTGGTTTCCCCATCTTTAAAATCTTTAAAATGAAAAGGTTGAGTGAACCCTTGAGTTACTTCTAGCTTTTAGATTACTTGATTCCATTATATGACTCCTGTTTCATAGAGGGAAAACCTAGTCTCCTTTTCTGGGTGGTGGTAGAGGCTTTTCAATATGTTACGGATCTGACTCCACAGTCTGTCCTGTACTGCTGCATTATAGCACCTCTCCTTGCCTTCTTCCCACGTTCCCAGTCACTTTTAGTCGTTTTTAAAAATTGAGACTTACTTCTAGTTTGATCAGGAAAATATTTCTAAGCTTGAATTATTGTTACAGGTGTGCCTTGCTCCACTTACAAAGTAGACTTACAAAACTGTTTGTAAATGGATTTTTAAGACGTTAAATCATATTAAAATTTTTTTAACCAAAGGAATTCTCTTTTAAATATTTTATAAAGCAAATAGTTATGAATAGTTATCATCTAACTTATTTTTAGTATTCAAGAAACTTAAGTGATGATAAAGTTTTTTAGTGAGGGTAAGGAAATGACCACTTTATTAAAGGAGAAAGTGCGCCATCTACTGGCTATGTCTTGGAAAAAGGAATCCTACTTCTACTTCAGCGTTCAGTAATTTTAAGATTCACTGCAGAGACATCTTTTAGGAGAATTAAAGCTTGATATGATAAGAACTGAAGTAATAAGACATAATGCCAGCTCAGAATTCATAAGGGTTATACAGAGGCGTAATATTCTGTGAAAGCCTTTCTCAGTGAAGAGTTTATCTTACTGTGAACTGCAACATGAAGATGGACTGTGTGAATGCTTCTCAAGTTCATAAAGAAAAACAGTGAGAGAGATGTTTGAGTGGTAATCTGTCTACCGTAGGTAATCTGTTTTGGATATCTTTAATATTTATGTGTTTTAACCTGAAAATATAGTTTTAAACTATTGTAGAACTAATTTGTCAATTATCTCTTACCTTGCTGTTTCAGAATGGGTTTCCATGTGCCACCATTCTGTTCCATTTCCCATTTGCACCTTCATGTTCTGGCACCAGCCGATCAGCTTAGCTTCTTATCAAAATTGGTTTATAAAGTGAATTCCTATTGGTTTATCACAGTAAGTGTTATTGTTATGTTAGCAGCGTACAAAAATATTTAAAATATTTGTCCTTTTTGTTGTAGTTTTTCTTTTCTTGGCAACAGTGGGCACTTACACCTCTTATAGACTTGATCTTCTGTTTTAACATTCTATTTGCACATATCTAAAATAATATTTTTAATTTGGGGGTACTTTTCCAGGTCATCAAATCTGTAGGAAGAGATACTATGGCAAAGTCTCTCAATTGTAAGCAGAGGATATCATATAGAAGTTCATGGCATTAATAGTTCAGAATTCTGAATTGTGGCTCTATTAGTTACTTGAGTGACCATGTGCAAGTTACTTAAACTTTTTAAGGCCCAAGTTTTTTTATCTACTACTGACGTTTAGGTAATAGTGCCTACATCTAGGGTTAATAAGAGGATTGATGAAATAATTAACATGTAAAGCACTTAAAACTGTGCATTGCAGATAGTGAGGGCTCAGTAAATGTTATCTGCTGCCTGTCATCATCAACCTCATTGCAGAAATTGATGCAAGTAGTAGCATCAGCTACTAGATCTGAAGTTGAAGCTTTGAGCCTAAAAAAATTGCAGAATTTTGCTTTACTAGGGCAAAAGTAGAATAGAATTCAACTTATTATTGGCTTGTAACCTGACAGTCAAGCTTTAGTTATTAAATGACTCTGTCCTTCCAGGGCCACTTGACTAGTAATTTATGTTTCTTATTTTATGTGTCTATGATGATAAGGTGACCTATAGTTGCTATATCTGAAAAACCATCAAATTGCAAATTAAGTAATTACCATTAGTTAATGCAGATTATTATTATAGTCATAGTACAAAAGAAATGAAAAAGCAGTTGATTTCTAGAAACTTCATATTTCAAACTTATTATCTCTCTCCTCAACTTGTTGTCCAGATGATTTTATTTTATTAAAAATATATTTAAGGGCTTCCCTGGTGGCGCAGTGGTTGAGAGTCCACCTGCTGATGCAGGGGACACGGGTTCGTGCCCTGGTCCGGGAGGATCCCACGTGCCGGGGAGTGGCTGGGCCCGTGAGCCATGGCCGCTGGGCCTGTGTGTCCGGAGCCTGTGCTCCGCAACGGGAGAGGCCACAGCAGTGACAGGCCCACGTACCACAAAAAATATATATATATATATATATATACATATATATATTTAAGGTATGTGGTGTATATATTTGAAATTAAAAAGGGACATTTTGTAGGAAGCTGGTGTGGTCTCTTTAAAAAATCAGTATGATAAAAAACAGATATTTGTTTCTTATTTGTACTTCTAAGTTTCTACACTATCTATGTTTTTATAGTAAAAAATAATTAGAAATACATTTTTATACTTTTTAAACTGTATTTCCTTACATGATTTTTTAGTTGGGAAAAAAATGAATGAACAAAGTTATGAGATCTATTAATGGTTCGTCCTGGGAATCTGAACTCTTCTTAAATCTAGGTATTTAAGTATATATTATGAGACTGAAAAAATCAAGATAAAGATATTAACGTTTATTCTGAAATCTTACATAATTTTTCAGATATATGATGATTGAGAAAAGTATCTGAAATGATATAACTAGAAGGCTTTAGTTTACTTTTTATTCTTTTTGTTTTTCTTATTTTTTTAGAGCAGTTTTAGGTTCACAGCAAAATTGAATGGAAAGTACACAGAGTTCCCGTATACCCTCTGTCCCCACATACTCGCAGTCTTCCCCACTGTTGACATCCTACACCACAGTGATGCATTCGTTATAATCCATGAAACTACATTGACACATTATTATCACTCAAAGTCCATAGTTTACATTAGGGTTCATTCTTGGTGTTGTACATTCTGTGGGTTTGGATGAATGTATAATGACATATATCCACAATTGTAGTATCATGCAGACTAGTTTAACTGCCCTGAAAATCCTCTGTGCTCTATTCATTTCTCCCTCCCCCTTAATCCCTGGTAACCACTGATCTTTTTTAATGTCTCCAGTTTTTCCTTTTCCAGAATATCATGTAGTTAGAATCATATTGTATGTAGCCTTTTCAGATTGGCTTCTTTCACTTAGTAAAATGCATTTCAGGTTCTTCCATGTCTTTAGTATTATATTTATTTCCTGTATTGAAACTATCTAACAAAAAGGCAATGTGGATAAAAATCTGCCTATTTATATACATTATAGAATAAACACCTTTACTATAGTTTGAAAACTGTTATGTTGAGAGTTTTTTGTAAGATATTTTTAGGAACAGAATATGTAGTATCCAGTTCTTCTGCTGTGGCTTATTATAATAGGGGTGCCAGTAGGATTATTTCATGTAGGCTATGATAACTAGAATAAAAAAATGTTATTTTTCCATTACAGGCTGATTATTTGATTGACAAACTAAGAACATGAAAATGTCAACAGTGGAAGATTTTCCTAATTTTAGCTCAACATAAACTAATATTCTGGTCTCTTTGAAGTCTAATTACAATTGGGTTTTATGTGAAGCTATTACTGGGTAGTTTTAAATTGTTTCTTAATGTTTGTTTCTTGAAATCTGTGATATAGTTATATGAATATTTTGTCATTGACTTTGTTTTAGTGGTTCCTTGTCTAAGGTATAAGATACTATAGATAAAATCCCATTAAAACAAATTCTGTTAATCAAGAAGGGCTCTGTATTTTTTTTAAGTTCAAACATTTTTATTTCTCAGTAGTCAATTATAATAGTGATTTATTTATGAAGAATAAACTGGTATAAAAAGTACTTTGTTGGAGCCTTTATTGTATGAAGGAGAAAGGGAAATTATTTCTTGATTGTTCTATAATTTTACACACAAAATTTCAAAATAAACAGTACCGTACTACACAGTGATCTCTGATCTCATTGATGGAAAGAACTGTATATGTGTCACTTTTTACTCAGGTTTCAGATGCTGGCTTTCACTTCTTGAATCCTAGCATCTTTATAATAAATTGATCCTGAAGCTATGTAATATATATAAAATAATTTCACTGTAACAGTGAATTTGCTATAACAATCAACTTGACTATCCAAGAGAATTCATTGTAATGGAATTTTACCTGTAAGAACGTAAATTGGGAAGAAACATAAGTGGTTAAATTAATCTATTAAAACTGGCAGAAACTGTTGCTCTTTGGCTTGTTTATTATACCAAAGGAAAATTAGAATTAAAAAGTGGTTAGACCTGTCTTTTATCATGAAAAAGTCCTGATTTGAAAGTAGAGATAGGTTGGATGAGAAAATTAATTTTAATAGCAACATTAATATATTGATAAATCATTTCATGAGACATATTTCTTTAGGAATTGTCTTTTGGTGCTAATCTACACTAACAATAGTGAATGTGAATGAAAAATAAGTACTGAAAGCTAATCTTACATTGTGCCGGTGTATAACTGTACCATGTACATGAATATAAATGAACATAAGGGTTAAAGTATTGTAGAAACAGGCTGAGAAGAGTAGTTTTTTTTTTTTCCTTCTTTTTTGGGGGGATGATATTAAACATAGTTTTAAGTAATGAAATACTTAGTTACAACCTCTGGAATCAATATTGTTTAGTTCATTTGTTCATTAATTCATTCAAAAAAACATTTAGTGGGCTTCCCTGGCGGCACAGTGGTTAAGAATCCACCTGCCAATGCAGGGGACACAGGTTTGAGCCCTGGTCCAGGAAGATCCCACATGCCGTGGCGTGACTAAGCCCGTGTGCCACAACTACTGAGCCTGAGCTCTAGAGCCCAGGAGCCATAACTACTGAGCCCACATGCCACAACTACTGAAGCCCCTGCGCCTAGAGTCTGTGCTACGCAACAAGAGAAGCCACCGCAATGAGAAGCCTGCACACCACAACGAAGAGTAACCCCCGCTCTCTCCAACTAGAGAAAGCCTGCGCGCAACGACAGAGACCCAATACAGCCAAAAAAAATAAAAAATAAAAAAATAAATTCGGTGAGCATTTAACATGTACCAGACATTGCCAGGATCTGGAAATACAGAAGTGAGAAAGGACAGTCTGCTTTTAATTGCTAATACGAAAATCAGACAAAACCAGTGAGTACAATTTGGTACGTTAAGTACAAAAATGTCCATAGAAGAGGCTGTGGAGAGGGAAACAATTTTGAGAGCAGGTGGCAGTAGAACTGAGTATTTGAGACTCAATGTTAGGCAGGTAGATAGTGGAAGTTTAGGCTGAGAGACCAACATGTACTTTCCTTGGTTTCTGCTTCCATTATTATTTACTTAACAACTGAACATCCAAATTCCATTTTGTTCACTGAAGGTGGAGAGAGGAATTTGGAAGTAGGGGTTACAGGCTCTCAAAATTAGATTTACAAGTTTTTCAGCACTGCTTTGCTAAGTAGCTGGCTGAGCATCCACACAGATTAGCAGTTACATGTTTCTATAGATCAGTTCAACTGTGATCAGCTTCAGAAAAGAAATTTTCAACGTATGCAACATGTTGTACTATGTGAACTTACAGTGATATAATCGACAGTATTATGATAACAATATGTAAGGTATTTAAGGAATTCTCAAATGCCTTATGGACCTCTTAAAAAATGTGATTAGCCATTTGATTTAATTTATATGAGATTATACCCTCTCATAGTAAGTTTTTCTCCTTTGTTGGAAAACCCTTGGAACCTTACATTTTCAGTGGCTCTTCTCTTGTAAAGATCAATAATCAAATTATGACAATTAAAATTTACTCAGCCTTTTCAGTAGTTCAATTATTTGGTAACTCTCTAGTCATCTATAACATTAGCAGTACAAAGCTAATTCATAACTTGTCTTAAAAATGTTTAAAATAAGGCTTCCCTGGTGGCGCAGTGGTTGGGAGTCCGCCTGCCGATGCAGGGGGCACGGGTTCGTGCCCCGGTCCGGAAAATCCCACATGCCGCGGAGCGGCTAGGCTTGTGAGCCATGGCTGCTGAGCCTGCGCGTCCGGAGCCTGTGCTCCGCAACGGGAGAGGCCACAACAGTGAGAGGCCCGCGTACCGCAAAAAAAACCAAAACCAAAAATATCTATGTTCAGGCCACATACCAGACAAATTAAATTTGAATCTCTGGGGATAGATTCTGGGCCTCATATTTTAAAAATCTCCTCGGGTAATTCCAATGTGCAGCTAAATTTGAGAACCTGTGCCCTATAGGATTGAATAAAACTCTTCTTTGAGCCCTGTTATAGTAGACGCTCAGGAAAATCCCTTTTATGGGACTTGAGGCTATCTATACTATATATAATTATTTTCCTACTCATGGGAAGCAACTAGGAGCAAGAGATGGTGATTATTGGGAATTATGCTTAAACAGGAATCTGTGTGCTTTTTCCTAGGAAAGCTGCACACCTACTTTGAGACTTAATATTTGCAAACTACTTGTCAAAAGCCTTTCTTTCTTTAGAAATCATATTTGCTTCTTTTATTTTAGGAAGGAAAGAAGGAAGGGAGAGAAGGAAAATGAGGAGGAAAACAGGAAGGACAAAAGATCTGGCTCAAATGAAGTAAATGCACTGTGAACTTGTCCCTAATACACCAGTTCTGCCCAAGAGAAGTAATAAATGGCATTCCATTCAAAGATGTGCAAAGCCACCTAAGCTACAAAGCTGAAGCCTGGAGCAGCATAGATGATATCCAGGTCTTGCATGGCCTTGTATTTGAAGTGGAATAAAAGACTGATACCATTATTGGTATCTTGCAATCTCGATCTCATTGCAAACAAAAGAATCAAATTAAGGACTGGCCCAAAGAGGAGAGGCATCCCTAATTTTGGCAGGCCCTTGGTTAGGCTCCTTTTGGAAAACTGTTTCCATTTCATGCAGTTGCTGAGACTGGGGAGAGCTGGTCTCCTCTAGCTTAACTCAATTATGCTGCCATCTTACATCTGCCTGGAAATGTATGGCCCTTGATTATTAGAATTGTGGCAGCATTAGAGTTTAAGGATGACCAGGAGAGAAGGCTGAATCTCCAGCCTGTTTTCCTTCACATTTTTTTCTATGCACAGATCTTGCTCCAGAGGAAGCAAATCGTTGGTTTAGTTTTGCAATTAGGGCTTCAGGTTTGTTCTGGGGAGTCTTTTCACCGAGGATGAGATCTACTTTTCTCCACTTCTGGGTTTCTTGCTTGTTGGAAATTTGACCTCAAGGAGCTGAATCATATTTAAATCCATTGCAGTTGCTTATGTCTGAACAGGTGTCTCAGAGTCCCAACTTGTTCAGTTTTGTTTCCTGAGAGCAGCCAGTGTTTTTTCCTCTCTTCTCTTCTTCCTGAATTATCTTCATGAAGACTGAAGATGCTGAGGACCCTTCTGGAATCTTGTGAAATAGAACTCCCTCAGGAATGCTTCACAATAGTGAAGTTTCCATAGTTCTTATATGACTTGTTGCAATAAAACTTTACTCTCCAAACTGTTCAAAAACCCCTTGTTTTTTACTCATTGCAAAAATCTAGTCTTCCTATGTATGAAGAGAGCTTTTCTCCCTCTCATTGGTTCACAAATCCCTATGGTTCTAAACCATAGGGACACCTAAACCCTTTTCAAGTGATAGATGTTTAGTCAGATGTATGGGCAACTTTGACATTACACGTGACTTCTGCCACTGGGACCTGTTAACTCGCTAATTTCCTTTCTTCACTGACTGTGTCCTACTAGTCTCAACATTGTAGTGACCTGTTCTAACCAGAACTCAAAATTCTCCTTTCCAAATCCTGGTCCTTCCCAGGAACACCTCTGGTTTTTTAATAAGCAGCAGCCTATACCAGAGGCTCCAATGCTTACACAGTAGTAATCTCACAAGAGGGGCCAGGTCTCTATGAGATCTGCCTTGGTGAGCAGACGGAGCTTTGCATCTGTCCAGAGGCAGACTTTGAACCTCTCTGCCCCTTCCAGTACAAGTTTTTGAAAAAGCTGCAGATGCAAACTAGTATATATAGAATGGATAAACAGCAAGGTCCTACTTAATAGCACAGGGAACTATATTCAATATCCTGTAAAAAACCATAATGGAAAAGAATATGAAAAAGAATATATATGTATAACTGAATCACTTTGCTGTACATCAGAAACTAACACAACACTGTAAATCAACTATACTTCAATAAGTATAGCTAAGTCCAGCTAAGTCAGTCCCCAAAGCCTGGAGTGGTTAGAGAAGTCTGCAGGGAAAAACAAAATTTCAGTTCAGTTTCGAAGGCCTGGAATTTGAAGAGTTGTAGGGGAAGTTAAAAGTACATTCCAGGTGGAGAATCATTGGGAACTACAAAGTCTCATCGCAACCTGCTGTTGAACACAACACAGCTTCTCACACCAGCTCTTGGTACACCGGGACCTCAAACAGAACGCAACCGGCAGCAGAAGAAACCTCTCTGGGAACTGCGGGGCTCAAATTCCGCAAGCCGGGAACCTCCGGAGAGAACCGACTCTCCCCACTTCCGCTTCTGGCTCCTCAGGCTCTGCCTTAGCGGAAGCGGTCTGTAGGGGAAGAAAAGAGTGAGACACCCTCGGTGGCGCAGGCGCGCCGTGGGCTGATGCGATGGCGCTGCCGGGATCCGTGAACAGGTATCTTCTGCTCATGGCACAGGAACACCTGGAGTTCCGCCTGCCGGTAAGCGCCGCAGTGACCTCCACCTCTTTCTTCTGGAGAGGACGGCGGGGTGGAGGTTGGTGTGCGGGCGGAGGCGACCCACGCAGTCCGAGCCCGCGGGCATTGGGGGTCTGTACTGCCCCCCCCCCCTGCCGGTAAGCGCCGCAGTGACCTCCACCTCTTTCTTCTGGAGAGGACGGCGGGGTGGAGGTTGGTGTGCGGGCGGAGGCGACCCACGCAGTCCGAGCCCGCGGGCATTGGGGGTCTGTGCTTGTCGGGGAGATCACGCGTCCCCCCAGTCCCTCGGCCCCTGGGATTGGTCTGAGCTCTGCGGAGGGTGTGAGAGAGAAGCCCGAGACAGCCTCTCAGCCTTGCTAAGCATTTTCATTCATTCTTCAGCCCATGTGCCAGGTACCGGAGTCAGGCAGGTGAATATGACCGGTCCTCTCCCTCCTGGAGCTCTTCATCTAGAGAATAGAGACAGCAGACAGAAGTACTCAGGGTAGAGTTTTAAGTGTCGAATATGCGGGTCAGGTTTCATGGGGGTTGGCGTAGTGGTGGTGATGGTGGGTGGTAGGGTTAGATGATGGAAAAGTTGGGGAAATTGTTTTATTTATTCATTCAAGAAACATTTTCAGAGTACCTGTAATCGAATATTCTGGACGCTGGGGATATAACGATGACAAAGTTTCTATCTTCAAGGAGTTTACTGTTTAGGCTAAGGGGTGAGCAGATGCATAAACATAGCACTATGAAATAATGTTGGTAAGTGCAGTGATAGGTAGGGAAATAGCAGCATATAGAAGGGAAATATGATCCACCTGAGCGGGGGGGGGTGATGTTGGCCATTAAGATGGCTTCCAGGACCGCATGACACTTGAACTGTAACCTAAAAGAAGAGTAGGAGTTAGCCAGGCCAAGGAGAGACATAAGTAAATTAGAATTACAAGCTATTCATTATTACTGGATTACCAAATATGTAGCAAAGAATGACAAGAAGAGAGCAGGAGAGGAGGGTAAGGTTCAGAAAATGCAAAGCCTTAAATACTCTGGATCTTAGAAGGGGACTTTATTGAAGAATTTTAAGGAAGTGACAGAATCAGATTTTTTTTTAAAGAAATCATTTTGGCTGCAGAACAGAGGATGGATTTGAGAGGAATAAGGAGTTAGGAGTTGAGTCTGTTGGAATAGTCTTGTTAATAAATTAATAAGGCCTGAACTAGGGCAGGGGGTAAGAGGATGGAATAGACTGGGGATATATTTAGGTGATAAAATCATCAGGGCTTGATTGATTGAAGGTGGGGGCAAGAGGGACCATTCAAGGATGATTCCTGGGATGGATATAAGGGTGTTTCCACTTAAAATAGAGAGCACAGGCAGCTGTATGATTTAAATTTTGGTTATGCTGAATTGGTTATGCTTGTGTAACATCAAATGGAGATGACCAGGAGGCAGTGAATATGAATGAGTATGCACAGATGTTGATAGAGCTGCATGTACTGGTAATTAATATTTGGGAGTCTTCTGCATATGAACTCTAGGAGAGAAAATGAAATTATTCAGAGAAAGCATAGCTTCAAAAGAGTGGTGGGCCAAATGCAGGTACTTGGAAGCTTTGATGTTAAGGGGAATTGGGAAAAGGAGGTCATGAAGAAGATAGGCAAGTGTCAGAATAGGAAGTATGTGAGACCATAAAAATCAAGAGGGTAAAGTTTTAGGATTTTGCTAGAGTGGTTGTGTAGTTTTAGGCGAAGAAGCCAGATTGCTTGGTTTAGTGGTCACTGGAAAATGAGGAAGGGGAGATAGACTGCTCTTAACATAAGAAGGGAAAGTAAGAGATTGGTTAACAGTTTGAGGGGGCCCTGGAGTCAAGGGAGGATCCCTATCCCTCTTGGAGAAATTTGCATGTTTGTAGGCTGAAGGGAAGGGGAAAATGGATATAAGGACACAGTGGGAGGTGTTGGCCTTTCAGTAGAAGGGGAGTGTGGGCAGAGGAGACTTAAGATGGGTGCGGGTAGTTGCCTGAGGGCCTCTTTTCTGGGTAATGAATGAGTCAAGTTTATTTCTTGAAAGATGGGGGACCAAGTGATTGAATGGAGAAATTGAGAAAAATAGTAAAATCTGAAATAATCATTGAGAGCAAAGAGGGAGCTGATGAGCTACAGCAGTTGAGTAGAGAAGAACTCAGGTGTTAGAGCAAGGCTGAAAACGCAGCTGAGGGTGAAGAGCATGCATTTGTAATTGTGCCAAGATTCTGTGATTTTCTTCAGTTGTGTTCAACTCACTGGCCTTGGGAGTTTTGAAGGAAGACAGTGGCATTGATTCGGGACTAATGTGTTGCTGGGCAGGTGCGTTGAGAAATGAAAGCAAGTGTAGAGGCACAGAGGGATGGTTGATTATGGTGGTTTGTGTGGGGGATGCGAGGGGAAGGAGGATGAAGTAATGGGCACTGATGCTAGAGAGGTGGGTAGGATCCAGATTTTGGAGTGTTATGAAACCATTGGAAGGAATTTGGATTTTGTTTTAGATTTAATGGAGAGCCATTGACTCTTTTTTCTTTTTTTCCTTTTTAAGCCAGAAAGTGACAAACATTTTTTCATTTTAAATCACTAAGTGACTAGCAATCACATGTGTTTTAAAAAGATAGTTCTGGAGTACCAGAGAAAGGATACCACTTAGAGGATACTGGGATGGAACTAGAGAGAAGCCAAGGACGGTGAGTGCCTATAGTCAGATAATGCAGGGAGAATGGAGTGGTTAGGCTGCAGTCTTAAAAATAGCATCCCTAGTATTTGCTGGTTTTACCTGTTTTTTTCTTTCTTAAATTCTTCTTAGTATCTTTCCCTTGTGCCAGTTTAATCTTCCAAAAGCTCAGCCCTCTTTTCTGTCTCCATTGTCCCAAGGCTGAAACTCTAGTCTGGCATTCAAGGCCTGCAGTTGCATGGTTTTCTCCTCTGTATCCTCCCACCCCCTCCTCCCACATACAGTGCAGCCAAAATAGACTTCCCCATTATTCCCTGAATGATGCCCTCTTGTTTGGGTCTTTCCTATCCCACTCTTCATTTTACTGATTTTATATCGTCAATATTCATTTAGATTTGCCCACATATTTGTTTATTTTAGGTTTATATTTTTTACTTGATTCTTTTTCAAATGTGCAATTTCCTTTTTTTTTAAAATCCTCTACCAAAATTCTTAATTTTGTCTTTTATCCCCTTCAATATAGAAAGTTATGTTAAAGTATGTAATTGAGAAAAGGGGTCCTATGGGTCTGTTTCTTTTATGTATTGTTTCTCTTGGTTCTTTTTCATGTGTGTGCTGGGTGTTTGTTAAATATATGCCGGATATATTTGAAAATTTATTTGAAAAAATAAGTGAGGGCTAGGATGTTGTAAATCCTCTTGAAGAATATAGGAGCATTAATACACTAGGATCACCTGAACTCGTTTTCAGCCATTAAGTTCTGTTTCTCTTCTGATTTGCACATACTGCTAGTGTGTGTAGCTTTGGGGGATGCCAGTCTACACTGGGTGGGTTATCAGACTTCCTTTCCTTCTCATTGTTGGCCCTATACTCTTTTTGTTCCTCTAGCTCCATTAAGCTGTCCAAAGGGCTGTCCACCCTCACAGCTGCTTTTGGAATTGGTAAATGTCCCAGGGAGAGAGTGGCTGCACCTTGAGATTTCTGTCCTCTCCTGGATCTTGGTTTGGTAATTCTTGTAATCTCTTGATGCCTGCAAGCAGAAGTCAGGTTTTTTTAAAATTCTTTTCAGC